CAAGCCTCTGGCTGCAGAGTCGCAGAGTGGGTTGGGTGTGAAATCACAGAGGGAGGAAACTCAGTATCTCTGACCGGTGCTCTTTATGGGCCAGCACCCTGTACTTACCAGGACCAGGTCATTCAACTCCTTCTGTCGATGTCATTCACCAAACCATGTTCAGTGTCATTCTCATTCTCACTTCCTCCTCCATTTATTCACAGTAATCACCAAAGTGGAAGCAGTGACAGGAGCTTCAGTCCCACCTGGCCAGCAGTTGGCTGCAGCAGAATCCCAGGAAGAAACTGGCCAGAGTCAGGATCAGAAGAGCCAAGGCCAGAGAGAAGCTCTTGTATGGCCTGTTGGTATGCCCCCCATGATTGACCAGACTAATTATGACCTAAAGGGAGTTCCTGCCACAGATTTCTTCAGAAGTGCCTCTAGGTACAACCGGAAGAAAGGAGGCCCAAAGCAGCAACAATCTCAGGGGCAGGTAGTCGAACCACCAACAGGTAAGGAGCCTTTGGATCACAGTGAGAGGAGAAAACTTGCCCCAGATCTCGGGAGGAGGGATTTATGTGCCCATGGTGTTAAGTGTGGTTTATTCTTTTTGATACTTGGCCTGCTATAAATGCAAGAAAGTCCAGATAACAGGTGAGATTGGATGCCTAAAACAAGTTTTACACTGAATTCAGGGAGATAGGGAGGGAAAGAATAGAGACATATTCCAAAGAGAAACCAATTTCTGGAAGCTCCCTTCTAATGAAAAAAATTCTTTTATTTATATCATAGGAAATTTGAAAACCCGTCAAATGAAAATGTTCATTTCATTTCCTGCCATAAAGCAATAAACATTTTAACACATTAATAGATCTATTTCTACACAGATCTTTTAGTTTCATATTATACATTAATATGTGTGTATATATTTTGTATTTTTTTTTGGAGAGGTTTTTGCTATAGGGCGCGTGCGCTCGCCAGATAGAGACAGAGAGACAGAAAGCGAGAAATCACCCCCAGGGGGGATGGCCATGCTGCAATCCCTTCTCCTCCATTCTCCTGTTGGGATCTTGGGCACGCACGCACACACGCCCGGCATGAGTTTAAGCCACCGGGTCCAGGATGCGAACCGCGGTCGACTACGTGGGAGTCCAGTGACATAGCCATTACGCTAACTGTTGGTCCCTATTTTGTATTGTTTTCAAGAAACATGAGATTCTGTTGAATCTTTAAAAAGATAATTTCTTTGATCGCATTTAAGTTCACAGGTGGTGGGCTCTGGATGGCTGCTCCTGATTGGTTGCCACCCTGAAGAAACTACATTAAAAAACATTCTCTTTCTCTTTTTTTTTTTTTTTTTTTGAGAGGTTTTTTTCACTATAGGGCACATGCGCTCGCCAGACAGACAGAGAGAGACAGAGAGACAGAAAGTGAGAAATCACCCCCCAGGGGGGATGGCCATGCTGCAATCCCTTCTCCTCCATTCTCCTCTCGGGATCTTGGGCACGCACGCACACACGCCCGGCGTGAGTTTTAAGCCACCGGGTCTGGGATGCGAACTGCGGTCGACTACGTGGGAGTCCAGCGACATAGCCATTACGCTAACTGCTGGTTCCCCTTTCTCTCTCTTTTAATCTCTGCATTTTCTTTCACCTCTTCTGTCTCATTGCACCAAGTCTTTGGCTGGGAACACCCATGCTTTTAGACTATAAGATACATTATGTTCTGGGAACACTGCCTTTTCCTTGAGAAAGCTGTTGTTACACTGTAAACTTAAACGGTGTTCAAATTTATTTCTCAAGTTATTTTTATAAAATTTATAGATAAGGGCCTGTTCTTTGTGTCTCTAAGCTCCAGGTACTTCAGCTGATGCTGATGAAGCTCCAGCTTCCAATGTGTGAATCCTCACGACATAACCTTCTGGCTTTTGGCAGCCATCACCTCAGCGAGACCTCAACTGGCTAGAGCTAAGAAGAGTGTGAAGGAATCATAGAGAACGAGCTGTTTGGGCACATACTTTAGAATAAGGGAGAGCACATATATGTTGTTAGAATTTATATATCTTGTTAGAATTTAACTCTGCTGGAGAAAATAGTTTGATATAAAGAGTTCAAAGGAGGGTGGGAGAATAGTGTTAAATTTTAGAGATTATAGCAAGTTTCTTGAATTTTTTTCATTGGCTTACTGAAGAAATAGTTATTGATGTTAAGAACTACACTGATATGTTATTATCTGGGACACACATTATAGTCCAATTGGGTGAATGTGTTTAGATGACAGGAGAGAGGCTAAGCTGAGATACAGTGTAGGTTAGGGGTGTCTTATTCGCCTTGCATGTAGTGTGGCCTTCTGATAATCCAGTTAAACTACCATCAGGATCTATTTCAGTGATTCTGGGGGCAGCATCAAAGATACTTTCATGAAAGTCCTTGAGTGACACAATTGCTCATCACATTAGTCCCAGTAGAGATGAATGAGCAGTGACAAAGACCAGGAGCTCAAAAAAGTGCAGGCAGGGCTTTTCTGATCCCCTACAGATTTCCTTCCTTGAGAGGGACAACTCTTTTCCTGGTTGCCTACCAGCCTGCCTGAAAGACCATTTCTTGAAGAAAGACAGTGCTTACGGGCATACTGGCTGCACCCTCCAACCCTCAGCCTTAAGCTGCCCCCACCCCTAGTTCCACTCCAGTCAGCAGTGGATGAAGCACAAAACGAATTCCAGGGCCTAACATTAGGGCCACTGGGCTATATGGATGGTGCTTTTCTTGGGAATGCTAATTGTATTAAAAATAGGACTGGGCTAAAAATGCCTCTGAATCCATCTCTTCCACTTAGGGTGTTCTCTGTAGACTCTGCTCCCCCAAGGCAGTTGTTGTAAGATAAGGAGAGAGCCAGGGTAGAGTCCAGGGGTGGTACATTGGACCATCCTCCAGTTTGAGCAAAAGGTATCCTCAAGTTCCTCCAGGAGATACTGCTCAGCTCACCAAGATGAACCTTTGTCAGGGGCTTTCTGATCCTAACTAGTAATAAAGAGTGTGCACTTGCTGCTGTGTCTTCTGTGTAGTGTGTATCTCGGCGCACGTTTACTAAGAGGTGGCAGTTTACATATGCATCTTCCCTCTGACCCACTATGGTGAAGAAAAGTTTGATCTCATTCACTGTTACAGGGCCCCTTCTCTTCCAACATGTTACTCAAGAATTGAGGGTGGAGTGTATATGAGACCTTCAAGCCACTGCGATAGTCCCTGCTACTCTCACTGAGGCCACGTAGTCCCCTGAAGGTGGGTGTATATGTTACTCCAGGGTCAGTTGAGCATGAGAGGTGAGGTGGGAGGGTGCTTTTGCCCAGGCTAGAAGCCCTAATGCCTAGGACCCAGACTCACTTGGTGTACCAAGAAGCCATTTCCCTGGAGCCCTGTCTCCCTGAGGTACTCTGATGTCATGAGCAGAATATTTCCTCCTGCCTTTCTGCCCTTCACATACTGTCCCCGCCCTCCTGTGCATCATCTCATCAAGGAGCTCCGGATTCTGGAAAGCAGCCATGCTGTAAACTGTTCACAGAGAATCGTTTCATATGTTGGTTTGGGGACAGAGAACAAAAGTGACCCTGCCCCACCAGCACCCTCACTTCCCTCAGAGTCCTGATTGCTGAAGGGTCTTGGTTATTTGGGAGGGGAACTCTGGAAAGGAAGGGGTTCATTGGAGTGTCCAACACAAAGCTAGGAAGCCAGCTCTGTGTCAGAGCAGTAACATGTTATTCAAGAGAAACCAGGTATCACATGGTGATTCTATGTGCTGGAGGAAGGGGATGGCAGTGTGACCAGACTTTGTGGGAAGTGCTCCTCCCTCTCCTGTGCACACATATGCTCTATCATGAATAAAGAAAAAAAAAAAAGCTAGGTTTGGGTTTTCTGGGTTGGCCAATTTTATGATACTCAGGTGTGTCTGAGAGCACCTTGGAATTTGGGGAAGATGAGACTTGGGAGTATTACAGTGCATTTTAATGTGACTCCCAATGTGTGGTTTCTGGACCAGCAGCATCAGAATCATCTAGGAGCTTGTTAAAAATGCAAATTCTCAGGCCCTACCTCAGACCTCCTGACTCCGAATATTCTGTAAGTGCGGCCTCGCAGGTGTTTCTGTTGCATGCTGAAGTTTGAGGGCTGTTGTCTTCTTTTTTGCTATTGTTTTTATTTATTTTTTAGGGGTTTATGCTATAGAGTGTTTGTGATCGCCAGGGAGACAGAGACAGTGAGATGGAAAGTGAGAAATAACCCTCTGGGGGGATGGCCACACTGCAATCCGTTCTTCATTCTCCTCTCGGGATCTTGGGCACTCAAGCACATGCACCTGGCATGATTTTCAAGCTATCAGGTCCAGGACTCGAACTGACCCGCCATGTGGAAGTCTAGCGACATAACCACTATGCCATCTGCTGGCCCCAAGTTGTTGCTATTGTTTTTAATTTGCCAAAGGGCATATGCATTCACCAGAGAGAGACAGGGCAATAAAAAGTAAGAAAGCATTCCTCATGGGGAATGGTCACACTGCAATCCCTTCTCTATTTCTCCCTCTTTTAGGGATTCTGGGCATGCACACACATGTGCCTGGTATGTTTCTCAAACCACCAGGTCTGAGACTAGAACTGTGTAGTTGGCCATGTGGGATCCAACTGCCTTAACCACCATGCTACTGGCTGGCCTGAGAACCTTTATTTTAATCCAGGTAATGCACACGATTCATCTTAGATCTCATTACAGGTTGGGTCCTTTTAGGGCTTTGTGATACAGTCTGATGTCTGCTGTAGGCCTATTCATAGCTTTTACAGAGCTCAATGTGACTACCCAGTATTTCGTGGCTGACTTTTTTCACAGCAACCTGTCTGAATTTTTGGCAAGAATAGTTGAAGTTGACTGTTAATTCTTCCATCGTAAGACAGTGCTTACGGGCATACTGGCTGCACCCTCCAACCCTCAGCCTTAAGCTGCCCCCACCCCTAGTTCCACTCCAGTCAGCAGTGGATGAAGCACAAAACGAATTCCAGGGCCTAACATTAGGGCCACTGGGCTATATGGATGGTGCTTTTCTTGGGAATGCTAATTGTATTAAAAATAGGACTGGGCTAAAAATGCCTCTGAATCCATCTCTTCCACTTAGGGTGTTCTCTGTAGACTCTGCTCCCCCAAGGCAGTTGTTGTAAGATAAGGAGAGAGCCAGGGTAGAGTCCAGGGGTGGTACATTGGACCATCCTCCAGTTTGAGCAAAAGGTATCCTCAAGTTCCTCCAGGAGATACTGCTCAGCTCACCAAGATGAACCTTTGTCAGGGGCTTTCTGATCCTAACTAGTAATAAAGAGTGTGCACTTGCTGCTGTGTCTTCTGTGTAGTGTGTATCTCGGCGCACGTTTACTAAGAGGTGGCAGTTTACATATGCATCTTCCCTCTGACCCACTATGGTGAAGAAAAGTTTGATCTCATTCACTGTTACAGGGCCCCTTCTCTTCCAACATGTTACTCAAGAATTGAGGGTGGAGTGTATATGAGACCTTCAAGCCACTGCGATAGTCCCTGCTACTCTCACTGAGGCCACGTAGTCCCCTGAAGGTGGGTGTATATGTTACTCCAGGGTCAGTTGAGCATGAGAGGTGAGGTGGGAGGGTGCTTTTGCCCAGGCTAGAAGCCCTAATGCCTAGGACCCAGACTCACTTGGTGTACCAAGAAGCCATTTCCCTGGAGCCCTGTCTCCCTGAGGTACTCTGATGTCATGAGCAGAATATTTCCTCCTGCCTTTCTGCCCTTCACATACTGTCCCCGCCCTCCTGTGCATCATCTCATCAAGGAGCTCCGGATTCTGGAAAGCAGCCATGCTGTAAACTGTTCACAGAGAATCGTTTCATATGTTGGTTTGGGGACAGAGAACAAAAGTGACCCTGCCCCACCAGCACCCTCACTTCCCTCAGAGTCCTGATTGCTGAAGGGTCTTGGTTATTTGGGAGGGGAACTCTGGAAAGGAAGGGGTTCATTGGAGTGTCCAACACAAAGCTAGGAAGCCAGCTCTGTGTCAGAGCAGTAACATGTTATTCAAGAGAAACCAGGTATCACATGGTGATTCTATGTGCTGGAGGAAGGGGATGGCAGTGTGACCAGACTTTGTGGGAAGTGCTCCTCCCTCTCCTGTGCACACATATGCTCTATCATGAATAAAGAAAAAAAAAAAAGCTAGGTTTGGGTTTTCTGGGTTGGCCAATTTTATGATACTCAGGTGTGTCTGAGAGCACCTTGGAATTTGGGGAAGATGAGACTTGGGAGTATTACAGTGCATTTTAATGTGACTCCCAATGTGTGGTTTCTGGACCAGCAGCATCAGAATCATCTAGGAGCTTGTTAAAAATGCAAATTCTCAGGCCCTACCTCAGACCTCCTGACTCCGAATATTCTGTAAGTGCGGCCTCGCAGGTGTTTCTGTTGCATGCTGAAGTTTGAGGGCTGTTGTCTTTGTTTTTGCTATTGTTTTTATTTATTTTTTAGGGGTTTATGCTATAGAGTGTTTGTGATCGCCAGGGAGACAGAGACAGTGAGATGGAAAGTGAGAAATAACCCTCTGGGGGGATGGCCACACTGCAATCCGTTCTTCATTCTCCTCTCGGGATCTTGGGCACTCAAGCACATGCACCTGGCATGATTTTCAAGCTATCAGGTCCAGGACTCGAACTGACCCGCCATGTGGAAGTCTAGCGACATAACCACTATGCCATCTGCTGGCCCCAAGTTGTTGCTATTGTTTTTAATTTGCCAAAGGGCATATGCATTCACCAGAGAGAGACAGGGCAATAAAAAGTAAGAAAGCATTCCTCATGGGGAATGGTCACACTGCAATCCCTTCTCTATTTCTCCCTCTTTTAGGGATTCTGGGCATGCACACACATGTGCCTGGTATGTTTCTCAAACCACCAGGTCTGAGACTAGAACTGTGTAGTTGGCCATGTGGGATCCAACTGCCTTAACCACCATGCTACTGGCTGGCCTGAGAACCTTTATTTTAATCCAGGTAATGCACACGATTCATCTTAGATCTCATTACAGGTTGGGTCCTTTTAGGGCTTTGTGATACAGTCTGATGTCTGCTGTAGGCCTATTCATAGCTTTTACAGAGCTCAATGTGACTACCCAGTATTTCGTGGCTGACTTTTTTCACAGCAACCTGTCTGAATTTTTGGCAAGAATAGTTGAAGTTGACTGTTAATTCTTCCATCGTTCTGGGCTAGGCACATGCAAGTAAAGGTAGTAAAGTGAGCCCGGGCTTTGGAGTCAAAGATTACTAGGTTCAAATACCTGCCCTACTACTCAGGAGCTGTGTGACCTGGAACAGATTACTAAATTTCTCCAAACTCTCCAAAATGTTGATTCCTTTTCCTTACCCTTGGGGTTCTGCTGTGTAATGCGATAGTGGGTATAAGGGATACCCACTGAGTTTCTACTCACACCACTGAGTGCCTTCTATGTGAGGCTTTATGGCCATTATCTTGTTAGTGACATTCACAATAAGGTATGGGTATAATAGACACCTCTATCAACAGTTCTTTAAGAAGAATATTTACAGATGTGACAACTCAGTCACCTACCCAAAGTCACTCAGTTGAGATTTGGTGAACCCTAGGTTCAAACCCCAATTTACCCAGCACTAAACTCCATGCTCTATTATAGCACAGTGCCTTAACCTTTTACCTTTACTAATTAACAGCAGTCAACAGGGCCTGCCAACACCTTGATATGTAGAAGTGACAATAATGGAGCAACTTTGAGTTACAGCAGTCTGGTGGAGAGGAAAGTGAATGGAGAAAAACTAGGATGTTGGCCTGGTGAAATCTGCAAAGACAGTTGCAGCAGATAGAGCAGTGTATCCTTTATCTCAGCACCCACAGAATCCCTTGCCCTTGACACTTTCATTCCCATTCATCTTACCAACTGCAGGTAGTGACTTCAACCCGGACCCAT